GCGTTTTTGCACTAAACTCGCAGATCGCTATTAGCAAGAATGATCCCTACGCTGTAGCCTAACACTCGGGCTCATATTGGCCGCACTTTGGCCCCTTCCGGCATGCAGGAGAAAGAGCGTTAGTTGGGATGAAGGCGGTGCATTATAGAGCCGCGCGGACATCCAGGTGCGTGATTACCGGTTTTTTGCATGAAGCTCGGTCGTTTTTTCGGTAAATGCTCGCTTTGTGAAAAAAATGACAAATGCAAATTTTTTGAAAAAATGCGAACTTCCAGTTCATTGAAAATTGGAAGTACTGCTCGAACGGTGGTTTGTCAAAAAATCCATGTTCATTTGCATAAACGATTGCGGTTCAGGTCCGAATTGCAAGCGATTTTTGGGTTGAGGAGCTGCTTGAGGGTATGGTTGGGAGGCTGGGCTTAAAATTTAGCTCGCACGTGCATAGAGAATATCCCTGCAAAGTTTCAGCTTTCTACCTTGCCTGTTTCGCGAAATCGTTTCCCGCCTACATATTTCATTGGAGGCCCCGTATGCGGGGTCTAGGCGTGTATGGGGAAAAATCTTAAAACGGAAGGATGACACACGGGGTAGGAACATATATCCAAAGTTTCAGCCTCTCAGCTTTCCTGGTTGCTGAGATGAAGGTAGGTGACAAAATACACTCGCTTTCCGAACACACGCACACACACAAACAACCCTCTCGACCATATGCGTTTTTGCTGGCTGTAGCAGCGCTGTAGCGCTGCACAGCAAAAACGCATAATAAAAATATAAAAGAAGGGGTTCGAATTTGATATGCAGTTCGCTTCGCTTAGCACCAAGTACCTATAAAGAAAACTGCGCAACTTAGAAGACTGTGTAAAAAATGCCTGCTCGCGCCGGCCCTTTGGTATGCGCTACAGCCTTATCATTATTTCACTTTGTTTTTTATGCGGTATTGCATGGTATAAATTTGGCACTTTAAGTATAGACTACGTGACCTCTACTGCGCGTTCATCTGCTTATCAGGTGGATCACGGTCGAATGTCCAAGTTTAACGTTACAGGGTACTGCACAGTGTCTTCTCGATATGCCCAGAGCCGCCATAGGCTAACTTCCTTTGCCGTTGTCACGCGACGATAAGACGCTTGGATCAGAAATTTGTAGGAGTTTATCTCAATTCAAGAAATCCACGCTGTCTCCCACTTTCGCATCGTCATCCGCCCATAGCATTCCGATCTAATTTATGTAGTACGAGAGCTTCCCCATCATCAAATCGCGAACAAACCTTCAAACGGCGTCGCTTGCTCCTCAGTCCACATTACTCTGGATTTGTAAGTCTCATTTCCGTAGTACAGCTTGAAAGCATCATCGTGCAGCGCTGATATTGTATACAGGGATGTATCTGTATGTATCTGTACATGAGATTTGTGCGTCTTGTATTAGTTTAAGATTTGATAGCCCAAGTTTGAGGTTGTGAGTAATGTTTATGTGCTCGGACCATCGCACTGTTAAAAATCGAGTAGCATCATTCAGTGTCCCCGTGAAAACACATAATTTACTCTTAAATGAGCAATTATAATCATAGATTAAGGCCAAATAACACAAAAGAATCTTCTATTCTCCGAATAAAAAGCAACAGTGTCATGGTAAAATCTGGTGGTACGCCCTAAAGATTGCTAGCAACAACTTCGTATCGCTGGTATCGCTGCCAGGTTTTTTTTACATCTGCGAGGTAGAGGAAATACTGGCAAACTCTTGAGGGCAAACTAGTTTTTTGTGAAAGCTTAATGTTTTACCACATCGAAAAGCAAAAACAGGACATGCATGCTTAAAGAAGCAGTTCATTTTGAGAGAAGGAGAAAAAAAGCATATGTTTTTTCTATTTTATAAACCTCACAGCACGTGGTAGTAATAAAAAGGTGTGGATAGATCTAATGGTTCAGTGATTAAATTAAAGCGGAGGTACTGTGGCCTTTGGCAGATTAAGGATTTTTGTTTTTGCGGACAACAGCTTCTTTAAAAGCATTCAAAAGACCAAGCGATCTATACAGATTTTTCATTCAACAGCTTGAAAAATCAATCAACAAAAAAAAATTCAATGTAAAAGTTATGAGACAAAAACGAGGAATCAATACTGGGTCTGCAAAAACTTGGACAAACATGTCTTCTAAGAGCAGCTAACACAGTCAACAATCGTAGCTATAGCAGATGTTACTAGATTCTGACGTAATCCAACATCGGACAACTTTCGTTCCCAAAACACTTTGTCAACACTAGTAAACTCAAGAAAACGATCATTCCAATACCGATGAAACACAGCACAAAGATCATGCATGATGCTACTAGGCAACGTACTCGAATAGTCGCTGGTTCCGAACTGCCAATTCTTTTTTCTAAAAATTTTCAATGCATTTTAGGGCTTTTTAAGAATTAATTCAGATGCGCATCCATCAACCGCAGGAAAGGCGTCCCAACGAAACTGAGCCACGCATTATTTGCAAATTAATTTGACACGCTAATTCCATGCCTTCACGGTTATCATCCTGCAGCACCTTGCTAATGAGGTCCCTGTACTTCGGCAATTTGGGCTTCCTCGAAATGCAAAAGAAGCAGACTGCTCAGATGCGCTACTAAATTGCTGTAACTTTTGTAAACCAGCTCTGAGATTTTGGAAAAACAGTCAGTTACCAGCAGAACAAAGTAATCAGAAAATGCAGCGCATTTTTAGAAATAGCTTTTCACACGCGAATTTATCAGCAACTTGTGTCAACCTTTTGACCCCTTTCCCATACTTCCTCCTCCTCTTGCCGTCTTGCCAGAGGCCAAAAAAAATTAAAAATGAAGTTCCATTACGCAGTCGCAAGCATCCTCCTAATGCGAATAATATGTTGATGCTTTTTTTGGCAAATAAAAAGGAATACAGCAGTTACGCAAACTGCGCTTCCGTTTTGAGGGCGGACATTATGCCAAAAACTGATACCAAGATGTGTAAGCCGGTTCATCCAACTAAATGGTAGCAGACCAATTTTTAGAGCATTACCTTTCATACGTTTTTCTCTTTCTTGCTTTTCATATTTATCTAGCTTCTCTTCCTTTTGGACGTTACCCTAAAAATTTCACACAAACAAAAACGGGTTTAATGACGAATGGCAAAGAGAGACCTAGCACTGTTCTTCGAAAGAACAAAAGAAGAAAGCAAGAAATTGATCACTGGAATTGACAGACAGCTGATCACTAAACGATGCAAGCAAAATATCTCGTAGCTGAAGTGCAGCTCCTCTTCAACTGCCCATAAGGCATGCTAAATGGTACACGACTTTAGGAGCATACAATTCATCTAAAAATTTTTGTGTTGCCCGTAAAAAGCCAAATGGACGGGTACCTTTTTTGAATTACCACTACCAGGACATTCAGCAGCGCCCGACTTTCCACCTTTCTCTTCAACGACACCAATGTTTTCAGTGGCTGATTTCGCATCACCATCATTAACTTCAGGAGGAGCAGGACTCGATCCAAGAAGAGGGGGTGGTGGTGGGGCCGCTGCAAAAACAAATTATTCAGCAGAAAAAAATCAGAGGCAAAAATAAATTCTTACACGACAGGAATTCGAAACATTTAATTAGTAACAACCGAAACACCTGGCGATTGAAAGATTTTGAGAACAGTAAAACCCATAAAAGCTTTCTCTCTAATGATGAATTGAACAAACGCATCTCACCTAACGTTGGGCCAAGTGGCTCATACTCGTCACCCATCCGGTGCTGCGCTCGAAACAATGCAACCGACCGTTTACAAATTCGTACAAATAATGATCAGAGGCGCTAAGGGAAGATAAGGCTATACATATGAAGAATAATCATTGGTGACGCGCACTGGGCCGGCCCGTGCGATCATGCATTTTTGCAGTATTTCGTGCTGTAAAGAGATCCCTCGAAAACCTGGTAGCTAGGATTTGCAACATACTGGTCCTCGAAGTTCGGGAAGTTACTTGGACAGGGAACAATCCGCTAAAATTTCATCTTCCCAACTTCTCCCGTTCTAGAGTTAGCAAATTTCCTGCCAAAAAATTTCATGGGTTCATACATGAGAACCACACGTATCTGGGATCTAAATTTGATATCTTTAACTTTTACGGGACCTGGGAACACACTCTTAAAATTTCAGTTCCCAGCTTTCCTGGCTCCCGAGTTAGTCACTTTCCCGCTAAAAAATTTCACGGGACCGTACGTGAGAACTACGCATGCCTGGGCGCTGAATTCGATGATATTAAGTTGTATAAGTGCTGGGAACATTCCCTGAAAATTTCAGCCTCCCAACTTTCTTGGTTCCCAAGTTAACGATCTCTGCTTCAGGAACCCTCACGGGGCCATACGCAAGTACAACGCATACCTGGGGGCCGAATTCGAAATCTCTGAGTCCCATATGCATGAACATGACCTCAAAATTTCAGCTTTCTAGCTTTTCTGGTTCCTAAGTTAGCGATTTTCCCGCCAAAACTTTGACTCTTCCGTACGCGGGGCCCAGACTTGCGTGAATGTTGGTACCGCGCTTCTGGGGTAGCAATTGGCTGGGGAACCCATCAGCAAAATTTTGGCGCCAAAGCTTGCTTGGGTGCCGAGTTGAAATACCCGGACAGACTCACACACACACACGCACACACACGCATACACATACACACATACACGCACACACACATATACAGACACCGGTGTCGTCACAATATGCGTTTTTGCATTTGCATATATGCAAAAACGCATAATAAGACAATCGGTATGAAGATGTTATGTTGCTAGTTCTCGAATGCTCTCAAATTTCGAGTGCAGTTATATCAGGGCCTTTTATTCTGAACCGCATACATCCAACTAGCACCCAACGAGTGTTTGATGTATAATACTTGGATAACCTTTTCCGAGGCTGCCCAAGTGGCCCTCTATTTTCTTACGGATACCCGTATGCTAATACGTGGCATCGAATGGTTGGGATGAACAACACGTCCTGCTCATCCAACTTTTCACTGTTGCATACTCACAGCGGCATCCTGTGCACCGCTCATCTAACAGAAAATTGGACTGCTTACACGGTTACAAGCAGGAAAACATTCTCCGCTCCGTTGTTCTCTTTGTCACACCCAGCGCTCGCTCTTCTGTTTTCCACCGTAGGTGTGCTATGCTAAACCTAAACCAACTACAGATAATTTTAAGCTTTCCTTCCGCGTCCGGTCTCCTGGTTGCGGATATTTACTGTTTATATCCCTACGATTTCCACAACACTTTCGTCAGCTATCAGTTTTTACACTACTACTGTATTCAGTTATGAGCGTACTCTTTTCAGAACAACACTTTGAGGAAATTGACGAAGCTGCGCAATATGCAGAAAAAAAAGCGGCTGCCCTTGTACATGCAATCTCCGGCTGAAAACAGTGACTGATATTCCCCAATCGAGAGCGATGCAGCCCTGTCAACTTTTTTCAACCATACATCACTTTACCCGCAATCTGTCCCTTGGGCGCACGGGCACTTTGCATCACTTT